AATGCACAGACCAGCCACTCTCCAGGACTCCTCATGCACGTTGTCCCCTTTAGGAGGGAGTTGTTTTCCACTTTCTTTCATTAGAATGATCCACATATTTATTTGTTAGGCCATTGCTTAGTTTACTAGAGACACAGAAAAGTTTGCAACCCAGTTGCACCAGCTTTGTCTTGTGCATCCCCTGTTTGACAGTTGTATGTTTGTCCTTTGCTCCATTATTCGGTCTAAATAAGTTATTTTGTGCTCTGAGTTGTGTAGCATGGGCATTTTCTGTAGGCAACTTTGACTCTTCCACTTGGGCAAATGTTATTTCTGCAGGATTAAATCCAGTTGGAGCAGTTTGAATAACAGGGGCTGCACCGTGCGATAACACGCGCTCTGCAGAGCCATCCTGGAGTCGGGAAGGATGCGGCTGCAGCCCCGCTTCCTGGGTGCAAAGCCGGCTATCTTCCTTTAAGCTGCTCTTGGAGGTGGTTTTAAGACGCACCGAGGCAGCTGAAATGCAGGCAGATGTTCCCTCCTCCTAGCTCTGTTGAGGCTCAGAGAGCAGATAAGTGCACTTTCTTACGCTTGCTGTGGTTCATGTTTCAGAGTCCTGGGAAGTTACTCGAGCGCATATTAGTAGTCTTTAAAACAGGCAAAATTTTCAGGCTTATTTCCTGTAGGTAAATTTTAAGAATGAACAACTCGAGAAGTTACCGCTATGCTAAAACTGGAGTCGAGCCTGAGTAATAGTTTAGGCTGGAGAAATGAGCAATCCTTTCCCACATTTATCCCAAAGCAGCCGCTGGGGACCAGGGGGAGCGTGAGAGCAGGTCACGGTGTGTGCAGAGAATCTGCCCTGCGCTGGGTGCAGCAGACGACTGCGACCCGAGTACAGCGTGGGGCAAATAGCAGCAGGAGTAAATACTGGGGGAAATACTCACTGAGCGGGACAGGGCTTCCCTTACCTTCTGCTTACTGGTATGGAAAACAACAGCAACAAGAACCTCTGTCCAAGGGGTTCGGAGCTGTTCGTGTCTGTTTGGCTGTGCTATGCTCCAGAGTCTTTGCAGCTGTGGCATAATGCACTCAAGGTACAAATATACAGTCATTTAACAACAAAACTGATTCACCTTTAACATGCGATGGTATGCGGTCTCTTACTTTGGATTTTAGGAGCTGAGAGTTAGTCTTTGACTCAGCAAGGTACTGTGTGGCCCTAGATGGGAAATCCACTGGATTTCCACTTGTGGATTTATAGGATTATGGTACTCCTCTGTTTTAAATCTGTTAATCCGGTTACGTCAAACCTTTTGTCAGCAAGTTGGCAGCATCCCTTTCAGTTTGGTGCAATGTGCAGTGCAGATCTTTTCGAAATGTTATGGCTGACTTCAGCAAGATTGCACTCGAAATGGCACCGTGTAATATTTTCATCTGCAACCGCAAAGAGGCTCTACATAGAGGTGTTATTTATCCCAGGCAGATACTTTCTGTCGCCAGGCGCTGTGTGTCTGTGCAGGAGCAGGGTGCAGACAGTACCCTCCTCTCTAGCAGCTTGCCTTAGAACTTCCATATCAAGGTTGGTATCATCTACCCTGCAACTTGAAGACAGATCCACCTGCTTCCCAAATGCTGAAGCTAAATCCTGTGATTTTAAAGATTTTTTTTAACAGAATGAAGAGATTGTTTCTGATCATTTTGGAAGAGTCTCTGGAGTTTCTCAGCTTCCCTTGCTGCCTTTGCTCCCCTTGCAGGTCCCAGTCCTCACAGCACGTACCAAATGTGATGAACTTTCACAGTTTCTGTCTTCTGCATGGCTCCAGAATAGCATCCATATTGCCGTGACACCGCACTCATCCTCTCGAGCTGTCTCTTTGCTGCCAGCTTCTGCGGGGGTTGGATAACACCTGATGTGCTGCTAAGATGCTTGTGATAGGGAGGAACATGCCCCAGCGCCAGGGATCTCCTTCTGGTCTTGGGTACAAGACCCAAGAAGTTTTATTCCCCAACACAGCTTTGATGTGATTCATTGCTTGCACAGAAACAACCAGCTTAATGATTGGCAAATACCTTGTATATAATTAAACCTTTACAGATCCATCCGAAGCTTCTTTTAGCAAAGCAAGCAGAGAACAAATTTACAAGATAAAACATTAGTTTGGATTTAGTAGCAATAAACATCCAGGCAGTGTCACCTGCCCTTTCGTGGCCTTTCGGTCCTGCAGACGCCGTCACTGCTCCAGAGAGCCCCTCTCCTCTGCCGGCCACGGTGGGTTTGGTTGCAGGGTTTTGTTTCCCCTCTCCCGAGAAGCAGGCCCGTCTGCAGCCTCAGCACTGCAGAGGTGCTGAGCTGTCACGCGGGCGCTTTCCACAGGGTGCAACACAGCCCACCAGCTACAGCCCTTCCTGTGGGCATCACCTGGCTTCTCGTGCTCCGCAAGATACAGTGCATCACTGAGCTAGCGTGCGTTTTCTGCTGTGGAGCTTTATTTATCACTTAATTACTTTGAACTATGTATATCCAAATATATATTTAATGAGCGGAGTGTAATCACCCAAATCCTAGGTGTTAGGGATGCCTGTGATGTGTTTAACCGTGAAGGAATTACCAGCTGCAGCTCCTTCAGTGCGTCTTCCCATGCCCCATGGGGCCAAGCTGCAGCGCAGGCAGATCCCTGTGGCCGTGAGGAAGAGCTTGTTTGGTGGGAGGGTGCCCGAGCCCTGGCCCAGGCTGCCCAGGGAGGCTGCGGAGGCTCCTGCTCTGCAGATCTGCCAGCGCGCCGGGATGCGCCCGGGTGCCCCGTGCTCTGGGTGTCCCTGCTGGAGCAGGGGCTGCGCTGGGGGAGCCCTGGGGGTCCCTTCCAGCCTCAGCCGTCCTGGGATTCTGTGACCTTTCTCAGTCTTCACAATTCAAGATAGTTTTATAGATTTTCACTAAAATTTGGTATAGAAGTCCTCTTGGAATCTTGTTTTCTCTGTCTGTTGCCCCTTTGAGAAGCTTAGGTCATTAAAACTGGGTTATTGAAAAAGACTGCTGATGAGGAGACGTCATTTTCTGTGCCTCAGTCTGAAGTCTGGGGGAGCCTATGGGTCCTTATAATACTGCCAGGGCTAAATTACCTCAAAATAATTTAAAAGAACCATAAAGGAAGAAGAGATTTATAGAAATTATTATGGTTAAAAACAGTCACCGAAAGTTGAAGGAATGGCAATGGGAATGTGAGCAATAGGAGTTAGCACAGAATAACTGATGGTCTTCCAGTGATGGTTGAAGACCATAAATACACATTTGTGTGCATGTGAACTTCCTCAGAAATTACTTTATGTTTTCATCCACATTATTAAGAATGAGTGACAGTTTTCAGCTGAGGAAAGGTCCTGATAAGACTGAGCTTGAACATCCTCTTTTACTGAGGATTTCTCTTTTTGGTGAACCGATCTTTAGGTCTTTTGAATGCAGTCTTCAGTAATTTTCATTTTTCATTTCAGGGTCTTGTGACACAAAACCCACAGCATTTTAACAAAGCCACAGCACTTGTCTGGCCTCTACCTGTTTCACTGAAAATTTTGGTTAATGGTAATGCTCTAAAATTAATATTCATATGCTTTTTATTTATATCTCAAACCATTTTATTTTCTCATTTTGATAGTTATTTCTACTAAATCAGGAGATTTTAATTTATGTGCAAATTAGGTACCTTTCTAAAAAATACATAGCTGTATTTCTCTCTGTTGAAATCTCCTTTTAGCTAGTGTCTACATCGCTTTATGTGTGGTATGAAGGATTTGGACAGAAAGACCTAGACTTGCCAAACATTGAAAAAAAGAAACTAAGCTTATCTCTTTTTTCATAACATTGCACACTGAAGAAAATAAATTTCTTTAATCATAATCAACATTTTCCACAAAACATTCTGTCTCCTAAAGAAACTTTACTCATTCTATATCCAAGAATATTTTTCTTCTTTCTGGTGCTGTGAGGAGGATCTAGATCAGCCCATGGACAGGGAGACCTCGCTCTTTCTGTTTGAAAGCTCTCGAAAAGCAGCAGGGTGAGATGGGAATCACCATCCTTTGGTGTTGGCACCCCCAGCCTCCACCAAGGAGGACTGTCCCATGCCCATCCACGCTAGGGACAAGGTAGGGGAGCTGCAGGGGAAGTTCCATCCGTTCAACTCCCAGCAGAGAAGGGCAGCCTGTATGTAGAACTGGCAGACCTGTGAGGTTTGAACTTGGCCAGCGGACGCGCATTGGAAAGGTAACGCATTTGTAAGAGTTGAGGTGGCTCCTGATAGAGTTGTCCTTGGCCTTGTGGCACTGAGGGCCCTCCCTGGATTTTCTGAGCTTCATGTGCCATCAGAGAGCAAGAGCCGAGCATGGGGCTCCTGCTTGTGTCTGCAAAACCATGCCAAGAACAGCCACCTGTGGGGTGGAGGAGGACTCCTGGTGAGCACTCATGAGATGGAGAGTGGAGGAGAACCCTTGATGGTCACCCATGGGGTGGAGAGGTGGAGGAGGATTCTTGGTGAGCACTCGTGAGATGGAAAGTGGAGGAGGACCCTTAATGGACACCCATGGCCAGGAGAGGTGGAGGAGGACCCCTGATGGACACACATGGCGTGGAGAGGTGGAGGAGAACTCCTGATGAGCACTTGTGAGATGGAAAGTGGAGGAGGATCCTTGATCGTCACCCATGGGGTGGAGAGGTAGAGGAGGACTCTTGGTGGGGATTGCTGCTCGGCTATACCCTTCCATGGGGCTGATCCCAACCCCTGGTGCTATCCTGGCAGCCGGGGTTGAGTCCTGGTGAGGGGGATGGCAGCCAACCCTGTTGGGCGAGCCGTCCATGGCCCTCGTCGTGCAGAAGGTCTCGCTCGGTGGGGAGGTCTCAGATTGCTGCCCATGGGGGATATGGAGGGAGCAGCCGGGCCTGGAGTGGCAGGCCGGGAGGGCGACGGGCGCTGCCAGCCGAGGGGCCGGGAGCCGTCGCGGGTCTGAGCCTGGCCTGTCCCCTGCAGAGTGTCCCCTGACGGCGGCGGCGCAGCTGGAGCAGGGTGCGGAGATGATCAAGGTGCTGCGCAACGGCGGCGCCCACCTCGACTTCCGCACGCGCGAGGGCATGACGGCGCTGCACAAGGCCGTGCGGGGCCGCAACCACGGCGCGCTGCTGGTGAGCGCTGCGCTCGGAATGGGAACGGGAAGGGGAGGAAGGGGAAGGGACCCCTGTGTCCCACCACGCTGTGCATCCCGCCTCCCCGCATGGCACTGATCTCCCGCCATCGCTCCTCGTAGTGCCTCATGGCATTGGGAGCTGGGTGGTGACAGCAGGGCTGGGCGCACGAGGTGCCACGAGGAGCAACTCTGCAGGTCCCCGTGGCCGTGCAGCCCAGGGCTGAGGCTCTGCTTCCCCCACAGACGCTGCTGGACCTGGGGGCGTCCCCGGACTACAAGGACAGCCGGGGCCTCACGCCGCTCTACCACAGCGCCATGGTGGGGGGGGACCCCTACTGCTGCGAGCTGCTGCTGCACGACTACGCCCGGCTGGGCTGCGTGGACGAGAACGGCTGGCAGGAGATCCACCAGGTAAGGCAGCTGCCGGTGGGCTGCCAGCGGGCCTGTGGCAGCGGAGCCCTCCGCACAGGGGCCGCTCCTGTCCCCTCAGAGCCGTCAACACAGGGCCGCTCCTGTCCCCTCGAAGTCCTCAGTGGTGGGGCCGCTCCTGTCCCCTTGGTGCTCTCAGTGCAGTGGCTGCCCCTGTCCCCTCAGAGCTCTCAGCGCAGGGGCCGCTCCTGTCCCCTCAGAGCCCTCAACGCAGGGGCCGCTCCTGTCCCCTCCTGTCCCCTCAGAGCCCTCAACACAGTGGCTGCCCTTGTCCCCTCAGAGCTCTCAGCGCTGGGGCCGCTCCTGTCCCCTCAGCACAGGGGCTGATCCTGTCCCCTCCATGTCTGTCAGGGTTCTGGCAGCGGTGACATGCGCTGCTTTACGGGTGTGGGGGCAACAGCTCTTCAAGGGTTTTGCATGTGAGGCTCCATCCCATCCCAGGCCCAACAGCCAACCTTTTTACTCAGTTGTGCCCAGGATGCTTGCCAGACTATGACTCTTTGATAGAAGTGATTTATCCGAGATGCCCTCCTGTGTGTCCCTGTAAGGAGCAGCTGCGTGTGTCTCATGTGGGCCATGCGAGTTACACATGAGGTCAGCTCCTATACCTCACATGTACCTCACATATACCTCACATATTCCTCAGCTCCATACCTCACATGAGGTCAGCTCCTCATGTGGGTGAGCCCGGCAGGCGGGAGGGTGGTGCAGGGTTTTGGAGCTCTGTGGGTTCATCATCTTCCTGTTCCTTTCCATTTTTCTGGGTCTATTTTCTCCTTTTGTGCTCTCGATAGGCATGTCGCTATGGGCACGTGCAGCACCTGGAGCATCTTCTCTTCTATGGAGCTGATATGACTGCACAGAACGCCTCAGGAAACACTGCTCTGCATATCTGTGCTCTCTATAACCAGGTAAAATTGGTCAGTTTGGGCAGGAGAACAAGAAAGCACAGGGCACTAGGCTGCATGAGGTAGAGAGGACACGAGTGGGACTGGGATACCTTCTTACTGCTACTCTCCATTCTAGACCCAGAAAAGTTCTTCTGGATTGTAACCCTCTTCTCTTTTAGGGCGAGGGTGATTTTGCTTGCAGCACTAGTGTCATTTCAGATTTTATGAGAGGCAGCTGACCAAACGGCACCATATCTGCTTAGTTTTCTAGTGTGGTCACTGAGCTTAGTTCAGGAGAAATCAAGGGTGGTGGAAGAGCCATCTCTGATCTTGTCTCAGGCCACATGGCCAGGTTCAGAGGTTGGCATCTAAGAATTTCTCTCCAAGGTTGTGTTCCTTTCTAGTGACTTTATAAACTGTCTTATGTGTTTTGATTATAAAACAACCTTGCAATCTCTCTTCCTGAACAGAAAAGCTGAAATCTGTTATGCTTTGCAATAGGCATTGATACGGGTAGGTTGATCTGTGGCTTGTTAGGTAGATGTGTTTTTCTGCACACTAGCTCTACTATATGCACAGCAGGACTCCTACAAGGACAACTTTTGGGGGGATAGGGTGGCAGAGAGGCATTAAGGACTGCAATGGCCTGTAAGCATGTGGAAAGACCAGCATTTAGAAGCACAGAGCGCTCAAAATCAATGGAGGCTTCAGTTAGCTTCTCGAGAGGGTCCAGAGAAGGGCAACCAGGATGATTAAGGGAATGGAACATCTCTCGTATGAAGAGAGGCTGAGTGAGCTGGGCCTGTTTTCTCTGGAGAAGAGACGGCTCAGAGGGGATCTGATTAATGTGTATAAGTTCAGGAAGGGAGAATGCAGGGAGGAAGGGGACAGGCTGTTTTCACTGGTGGCCAGCGACAGGACGAGGGGTAATGGCCACAAGCTGAAGCATAAGAAGTTCCGTCTCCAGGTGAGGAGCAACTTCTTTACTGTTAGGGTGACAGAGCAGTGGAACAGGCTGCCCAGGGAGGTTGTGGAGTCTCCTACTCTGGAGGTCTTCAAAACCCACCTGGATGCCGCCCTGTGCCACATGCTGTAGGTGTGCTTGCTTGAGCAGGAAGGTTGGACTAGATGATCTGTAGAGGTCCCTTCCAACCTTAAATATTCTGTGAATCTGTGAAATGGCATGCAGGAGCGTGCGGTGGCCGCTGGGCCCTGCAGCTGTGCTCCGGGGATGGTGTCAGGGATGTTAGGGATGTCAGGGCTCAGCAGCCGCAGAGCAGCACATAGGCGAGTGGACCTGCTCAGCTTGATGACCAGGGAATCACTGTTGAGAGGAAGTGAACACCCCTACACATTCCTTTCTCTTGCCAGGGGAAATTCCCTGTGTGTGACAAAACCACCTGGTTTACTTTGCTGTCACCAGCCTGCAGGGCTAATGATTTTCTCTTTTCTTCCCTTTTGCTTGCTTTCCTAGGAGAGCTGCGCTCGGGTTCTCCTCTTCCGCGGGGCGAGCAAAGAGATCCGCAACTACAACAGCCAGACTGCGTTCCAGGTGAGGCAGCGAGCTGCTCGCCCTGCTCCTTCACACGGCCCTCTCACTGAGCTCTGAGCTGAGCAGCGCCTGCCCCGAACGAGGGCAGCTCTGCAACTTCTCCTAGGCACTTATGTGGCTAAGCTCCCTGGAACAAAACCATTGATTCGGGAGCTGTACTCTGCCATTGCCTTAGTTGCAACTAAGGAGCAGTAGACAGGAAAGAGAATATGTGCATTCCGTCACGTGGAGGCACCGTGGTAGTGAAACTCTGCAATAGCTTTGCAGTATATGCTCTGGAGAAAACAGAACATAGAGAAGGAGAAGCTCAGTCATTTTACAATGCGACTCCTTCCCTAAATTCGTCAAGTTTTGGGAAGTGACTCTCTGCAGTTACCATAGGCTGCAATCTGTGATGCAGGAGATTGCCTTGCCCTTCTTTGTGCAAGTTTTGAACTTGAAACAGACAGTGTCTGTGCTCTTATTGAAACACAGGCTCAAACAAAGGCCTGAGGACCTTTCAGAAATATTTTGACTCAGTGTCCAGCTAATACTAATGTTCAGGTCTCATGAGAGCAGAGAGTGCCTGCCAGTTTCTTACTCAGATACCAGTTTAGCCTGCAGCTAAGCTCCCAGACCGTCTGCCTTCTAGAAAGTCTTTTTCTCACTTCTTTTTCCATGTTGTTTATAGATGTTGTAGGCTATAGAGCCTCAAATGTGACCACAATGGTGTCATACAATCCCCACAAACACCATGATTGATCCCCATGAGAAGCTTTATTTGCACATGCCATTACTCTTGTTGAGTGTGTGCATCTGCACTTGTCATTAGAACAGCAGTTTTTCCTGGGTGGAAATGGTAAGAACTGCTGAGCGGATATTCTGCGTGTGCTGGAAATGCACTGCATCCCAGTTGTGCTGGGCCTACTTTGTCTCACCCAGAAGGAATTTACATGGATAGTGAGATCTATGTGTCCTCAGATACTAACATTTGCTGCAAATGCACCAAATACCTGTGCAGCGTGTGTACTGTGAGTGCGCTGGGAAGCTGGAAACTCTTCTCTGACCTGTTTTGGTAACCGTGATGAATTTGCTGTGGTTCTTCTTGAAAACCTCCGATGCAAGCTGCTGCTGTTACACTCTGCATAACATTACTTCATTTAAGTTTTAAGTATATATTTTTGTGTGAATTAAGCTTGCAGACATAAAAAGTGTACATACAATTTCCATGGGTAATTATTGTGACTGTCCATACAATTATGCGTCTGTGTGGAGGTAAGAGTTAATTAAATATTTGTGTGCTCAGGTGTAAAGGACTAAAAATGTTTATGTAGCTTCAGGAAGTGAATATATAGCTTATTTTCTTAACCTGTTTAGAACTGTTTTCCTTGGTAAAACCGAGACAATGTTTCTTGTGAGCCGTGTTAGGTGTTGCTTTGGATGCTGCTGAAAGAAGAAAGGGTTCTGAAAGCCAAGTTTGGTGTTTTTTGTAGGCAGGTGGGTACGCCGCCCACAGAATGAATTCACCTAAATTTAAGCGTCTCCAGTGCAGATCCCTGTTGTCTGGTGCCCATAGTAGGTGATAGAGGTGGGAGAATGATTTATGTGGCAGACAGAGGAGGGGATCTTGTCCGTGTCTCCAATGGTGGCCCTGGCAGCCCAGTGCCTGGGTGCAGTGGGTGCTACTCGCAGAGGACCAGAGGAGCCTGGTCCACCTTTACTTAGACCGTTCTCTGCCTGTTCCATGTTGTCTACCACTCTGGCAGGTGGGCTGTGAAAGGGCTTGTGGAGATGGAGGCAGGAAGGTCTGCTGAGATCAGAGATGCTGCTTCTCTTTGAGGAGCTTGGCTCTGGGAAAGGAGCATATTCCCCTCTGATTTCTATCTGATTTAACCTAAAAATACTTAACTCCAGAAAGGGACATCTTCCTGGAAATGGCTGCTTGAGTTACGTTAAGTTGGACTTTGGGAATCCAGCAATGAAGAAATGGGTGCTTCTTGTTCCAGCATATGTAGGACATGGAATGGCTGGTGAAGGAGCAGGGTATAGCAGGTGGTGAAGAAATTGGCTTCTGCTCTGATTTTGTTCAGGTCCTGCACAGTCCTAACGAGTGATGAGGGAAAAAACGCTGTTTGTCTTTTCCTTTCTGAAGTAGTGTGACTAATTTGAAGTTTCCGTTCCAGAAAATGAAAACTGTGCTTAGTAATCCAATCAGATTGTTTATTGACACAAGTAGAGCCTGATCCAAACCAGGATTTGAGAGTAGTATTACAGTCTCCTGTCAGTTCCTGGCTTTCAAACAGAAGCCCCGTGACTCGCTGCTGAGGCTGTTTGCTCAGTATTTCTGCATGACATCAAGTCTCTGACTGCTCGGAAGTTGCACTTTCCCACATCCCATCTTCATGTCATTGTGGTAATGGGCTGCTCCATTGCTACGATGAGTTGCATCATGGCAAAGGAAACTGGAGTCTTTATGAGGCCACATATGTGCTGCCCAGAGCGCCTCTGTGGCGGGGAAATCACATAAATGCCTCTCTTTTTTGCAGGTCCATTTAGTCAGATTGCTCACATAGCTGCTGTTAATTTGACTTTTGCTGTTAAACAGATAACTCGATGTCAGAGACCTGAGAATCCCCTCTGTAGACTTGGGTCCTTCCCAAAGGTCCACAGCCTCATACGAATAAGTTCCTCCTGAAGGATGGAGACATGATTTTTCTGGTGGGATATTGAATTCCCAAGATATTCTGGATGAAAAGAAAGCATTTTCCTTCGCCCTTTCTTTTTCCTTCCAGCTGCCTTAACAGTATCTGTAGCAGAGGGTCAGAAGCAAAGTGCTGCCTGGGCACCAGCTTTCTCACACACTCTATGCTGTCACCCATCTCCGGGTACTCACTGACCTGACTAGATGTATTGACCACTGGAGCATGCTGTGAGTCCGGGGTCACATCAACAGCAGAGCACCTTGAAGGGGGAGATGAGTCTTAGAGGCTTTCTGTCTTCCTGTGCAGTGTTCATGGCCCAGGAGCAGCACAACGAGTCTGTTGTACAAACAAGCAGGGGAGGACAGGCTCTCCTCTCATTTGCAAAAGGGGCTGAGTGAGATCAGCAAACTCTTCTGCATGAGAAGGCCATGAAAACCCCATTTGACCCCATGTCTCTCAGGGCAGACATTGGGCACTTCCAGTCATATCTGCTCTTTTCAGGAGCTTGTCACAGGAATGTGCCACTTCTTGCTTTTGCTTCCTCAGTTTACAAAGGTCTGCTTCTCCCTGATTCATCAGAGAAGCTCAGAAGTTGCCAAATGGATCACCATTGTCATGGTGGTCACCTTGCTTCATGCAGTGAAGGCCGAAGGCTTGTCCCGTATCACCTTACTCCACCATTGACCCATCTAGATGCAGTTTCACTGTACAACAGTTCAAGTGCTATTTCCTTTCTATGAGCTTGAGCTCACTGAAGTTCACCATCCTCTACCATTTCCTTTATCCAATACTAGGTGAGACTTCTTTTCTGAGGCTTGCATGTTCTCCAGAATGTTCTTTCAGGCCACTAGGGATGCACTGGATACTGCCTCTTTTGAAAGGCCTTCATCTTTCATCTGATGAGTATGCTGTCTTTCAATTATTTCCCCACTCAACCCTTTCGAAGTCTGTGCTAAAATCACTGGACATCTTTTCCTCTATCCTGAGAAATAAACATACCTGTAAAATATCCTTTTGAAGCTTTCAGATTTGCCCATGACCTCTGAAAGCATTTCAGTCGACCTGTTGAAGACTTCAATTATGTGTTGTGGGTCTGTTCCAGTCTTTCCAGTCTACTAAAGTGCTAGGCAGGAGCCAGCAGCTGCATGTTCCACCTCCTCTTACTTCTACCTCACAATCCTCTTTTCCTTCCCTCTTTTCAGGGGCATTTTTCATGAGTCTGTCTTGGCAGTGAATGCTGTGTTGTCACTAGAAAAAGAACTGGATCCACCCAAGGAACGTGTTGTCAGGGCCCTGAGTGCACTAATAGACCTTACCGGCTCTCACCAGCCTTACCTGGACCCTTCTCTTTCCCCTGTCGCTTGGCCCAAAAGCCAGTTTAAGCTCAGGCCTCAGTCCTTGCACAATCTGTGCTATAGGAATACCAGGCTCCAGCTCAGCCACAGGCATGGCTCTGTTTGGCCATGGACACAGCTGATCTGGACCTGCAGACTGACTTCTGCCCTGCCCTCGGATCTGCCGGGTCACTGTGGGCATTCCTGGTGATCACTGGGCTCTGGTTACCCGTGTCAGACCTGATCCTGACCCTGATGTGTGGATTGACTTCCTAACTTTACCATGGACCTTCCTTGTCACCATGGACATCCTTGGTGGCGGGTGAACCTGACTCCCTTCTCTGCGTAGTTCAAGAAGGCACCACTGGGCAGTGTTCTGTGTTTTGTGAGGAAGAAGTCTTCTCTGAAAGCCGTGATTTTCAAGAGGTGAATTATACTGTGATAAGATTGATCCAGTGTCACTACTTCCATTCTGTTCTTGCATGGAACTTGTGATAACTCCAAGTCCTTTAGGTCGGCCCGTCTACAGCTATTTATTTATTTATTTTTCACTAAAGCATTAAGTGGTAGCTGCTGTTCAATTGCAGTGTCTTGGGTTTCTTTTCCCTTACTCTATTGACAGGTTGACAGAGTAATCCCAAGAGACATGACCTTTCAAATTCTGTGAATGACTTTGTCTCTTTTTAAGCATGTGAATGATATCATTTGACTTGGAAATGAAACCATTTACCTTTGCAAGCTGAACTTTATCAGAATAGCTGCTGATTCCCAGGTGAGCATGTTATAATGTGCAGACAGTCTCTCCTAACCTTGATTTGGCACTGCCTGGGCTACCAAAAAGAAGCTGTCTTGTCTTCTAGCGTGTATGGCCTTTGTCATCTTCTTGACACTGCAGCTATTTCCAAACATGGTGGTTTGTCCTTCATTGAT